ACTTGTCTGCTCAGATGTGAAGTTACCTATTGATACAAAGTATTTCCTGTTTTCTAAGTATGTTTTGAACCAGTTTAGTACAGTTCCTGAAAGACCTGTCCAGTTCTCTAGTTGTTTGAGTAATATGTTGTGGTCAACTGTATCAAATGCTGCACTGAGATCCAATTTTAGTCAAGCTTTAGATGCTGATTTTGAAGCAGGGACTTCTTTCTTGATTTGCACAGTCTCAGCCCACTGCCACATAAAACTTCAATGTGGGCAGAGACTGTGAAGGTAATTATGTCGCAATATGTGAGAGCTTGTAGAATTAAAACATGTTCTTTTAAAAGAGAAGACGTTTTCTTCTGACAACCCTTCCAGACAACTCACACTGATTTTAGTCTTTTTGTAGCTGTACTGTCGTGAACTTTAAAATTTCACACCCTAACTCTGGTGCCTGTGGAGTCTGAGATATAGGTTTTGGGTGTTTTGCAGTTTCTCTTGAGCATTGCCTGGTCTGATCTTGAGGTGAATTTGGCATGTCGTTTGTGAGAAGATTGTGGCATTGTGTTAACAGATACCTAAATGCTCCAGAGGTAGTCACCCTTGCTGATGATCAGTTAATTAATTTCATTAGTAGCACCTGGCTGCTACTTAACCTCTTAATTCCTGTGGAAACAGTAAGGGTGTACTTAGTTTTTTGTTTTTTTGTAGAATTTAACAGAGTCCTGTGAAATCAAATGACCCCTATGAGCAAGCGCTTTGGTGACAGTGGGAAGGAAAAACTCCCTTTTAACAGGAAGAAGCCTCCAGTAGAACCAGGCTCGGGGAGGGTGGGCATCTGCCGTGACCTGTTGGGCATTATAAAAGAAATACATCAAAGGAGGCCCTAACCACAGAAGTCAAAACAAACACTGAGGAGGTGTATACATACGAAGTTGAGAAATTTGTGTTTGTTTGATTATTTCTGTGCTGTGAGAATGCTTCTTGACAGTAAATGTTATTCCATTTGAAACCCTGTTTATTTACATGGTGCCTGTTTTCTAAAGAAAATGAAGTTGTGGGTCCCAAATTTCTTTACTTTTTGCTATTAAGTTCACTAATGCCAGTTTGACTGTAAACAGACCCCCTCCTCCACATTGTGGGTTCTGCTGGAGAAACAGCCAGACTTTTCAGTGATCTCACAGACACTTTCTTCTCTGTTGTGACAGGGTCAGAGGGCACAGGCAATGGCAGTGATGAAGAAGGGTCCAAAGTGAGTGCAGGCGGTTCAGAAAGTGATTCAGATAATGCTGCTTCAGCAGATGATGGCATAGATGAGGAGGAGACCAAAGACCTGGCTGCTGAGGAGAACTTGACTGAGGATGAGGAGAAGAGCAAACGGCAGCAATCGTCAGACAGTTCCACCAAAGACACTCCCACTGTCATCGCACCCAAAGGCAGACGCAAGACCAAGAAAATTTCAGAGCCTGCTGAAGCTGCTGAAACTGGATCTTCCTTAGTGTCTGCATCCAACAATGTAAATGCTGAAGAGTCTCAAGCTGAGCCCAAGAAATGGAATTTCCGCAGGAACCGCCCACTTCTGGACTTTACCACCATGGAAGACCTGAACGAGATGGACGACTACGATAGTGAAGATGATAATGACTGGAGACCCACAGCAGGAAAGAAGAAAGGCAAAGCAAACTCTCAGAAAGGAGGCACAGATGAAGAGGGTGGTGAAAGTGCTAGTGATGACGATGACAACGATGACGATGATGACGACGACGATGATGATGATGACGAAGATGGCGACGGCGATGATGATGATGATGACAAGGAAGATGGTGAGGACAACATTAATAGTAGCAGTGATAGTGACAAAGAAGCGAAGAAGTCCAAAAAGAAGACGAAGAGCAGCAGTGCTTTTGATGAAGAACTGACCAATGATAGCATGTCCCAGGGAAAGGGCAGCGAGGTGAGTACAAGATCAGACACGTTTCAAAAAGCAGTTCAAACCAAATAAACATTGTTAATAATAATAACTAATAAAATGTTTTTGATGAACACCATTGTTTAATGGCCACCCTTAATTACAGGATGAACACTCCCTTCTCTGTTGGTGGAACAATGCGTTATGTCAACCAATCAAAAAATTATATTGTAACATGTGGCATTTGATTGCTTAGGAAGAGGGGGAAGTTTTGCACGTGTGTAGTGTTGTGTAGTAGTGTAGCTATTGGCTTTTTGTGTGTCAAAACAATGACTCCACTACTGAATGTCACAGATGGTAGCCAAAAAGCCACCAAAGGTAGATGTAATGATGCAATGTCAACGCTGTCTCCGGGTCTAAAACAGGAGGAGTGACACCATCTGTTGTCAGGCCCGTGATGTGCTACCCTGTCTTGGTGTGGACAGAAACTATTTTTTTGAGTGGCAAAAATAATTTGTGTGGCATCATTTTGTGGCACCTGTTTTGTAAATAGTTTTAAATGGTTGTGGAAAAAAACCAAACAACAACCCAAAAAAACCTAAAGCATGGCAGCATTTCTAGGTAAATATTATGTATAACTTTATTGTTTGCAAAATTTGTGCTTAAGTTTTAAAAATTTACAATTTATATATCAAGTTAGGAAAATAATTTGTGTTGTGGTTTTTATTAGTCTAAAATCGAACTACTCAGATTTTACGATTGGTTTTGTTTTTATGTGAGTTTAGGTCAATTGTGTTCATACAGTTTGTCAAAATAAAGAAAATAACTGTAAATTCAGACATGGTTGTGCTGAAAAGCATAATACCCGTGTTTAAAGGTGAAATAAAAAGATAAAGTCAAAAATGGCCAACTACACCCGGAGCTCAGAGGATTAATGTGGAGATGGAGCCCACCTACACACACACCACAAAGAGCAAAGAGGCAGTCATTATGAAACGCTGAGCTCAGGTTGAGTGAAGGAAAACACAGTTCTGGCATCCAAAACATTCCTTTACTGGGTAAAATAAAACAAACCCAAAAAGAGTGGGGGGCGTTGAACAAAACACCCGATCAACAAACTCTGACATGAGGAAAAAGCGAACAAATCATTAAAAATATTGGCCTATCAACATAATTTAAAACTATTGCAACATCTTGTTTTTAGCAACACAAAAGCTTTGCATCAAAGTACAGGGCAAACTAGGATGCTGATACTGTATGCTGGCCTCTTTTCATTGCAGTCACATGCAGACAAACATGTACAAAAGCTCATAACCATGAACACACCAAATCTCAGAGTAGAGCCGCTGCTCCTCCACATCGAAAGGAGCCAGCTGAGGTGGTTCGGGCATCTGACAAGGATTCCTCCTGGGTGCCTCCTGGGTGAGGTGTTCCGGGCATGTCCCACTGGGAGGAGGCCCTGGGGCAGACCCAGGACATGCTGGAGAGATATTATATCTCTCGGCTGGCCTGGAAAAGCCTTGGTGTTCCCCCAGATAAGCTGGAGGAGGTGGCTGGGGAGAGGGAGGTCTGGGCTTCTCTGCTTAGGCTGCTGCCCCCGAAACCCGGCCCCGGATAAAACAGAAGAAGATGGATGGATGGAGGTTGAACTCTTGTTAATAACAACATGTAATTTTTATTGTTCATTTATTAAAATTCCTTTTACATTCAATTCAATTTTATTTATACAGCCCTAAATCACAATAACAGTCACCTCAAGGCGCTTTATATTGTAAGGTAGACCTTACAATAATACAGAGAAAAACCCAACAATCATATGACCCCCTATGAGCAAGCACTTTGGTGACGGCAGGAAGGAAAAACTCCCTTTTAACAGGAAGAAACCTCCGGCAGAACCTTCCTGAGCCTGAGAGAAGGAAGGCAGGATAAAGACATGCTGTAGAGGAGAGCCAGAGATTAATAACAAGTGTGCTTTAATGAAGAGAGGTCTATTAACACATATTGAGTGAGAAAGGTGACTGAAAAAGAAAATACTAAATGCATCATGGGAATCTGTTTTCTTCTTCTCTTATATGCTGGTTTTAGTGTTTTATCTATTAAGAATAGAAACTCTTTTCAGGAGTGTTGTTAACGCCTGCTCCAAAATCAGAGATAATCTAAAATAAAATAACTATTTATTAATATCTGTAATATCTAAGAGCTTAATACCATAAGTTTGTTTTAGCTTATTTGCAGCTGAACTAAATTTAAGGCAGCTGGCTTTTACATTGGCACCTTTGCTTGGTGCTCCATAATACCAAAGTATAACACGAGTCATAGAATGCCTGCAATCCAATGAGAGGTTTTGATGTCATCATAGTAAATTCAAGAGAATCAACTTCAACCGTTTCCATGAATGTCAGTCATTGGGTTTGTGACTCTGACTCTGCTCCCTGATTCCCCAGGGTGCTTTGCTGGATCGGTCCCAGACCTGGAGCACACAACACATTCTCATCTGCTGCGTTTGTCTGGGAGACAACAGCGAGGATGCAGATGAAATAATTCAGTGTGACAACTGTGGGGTGACCGTCCATGAAGGTAAGGTAGAGTTATTTCAGTATAGTGGGCATGTGCATGCATGTATGTAGGACGGTGGTGTGGTGGTTAGCACTGCTGCCTCACAGCAAGAAGTTCAAATTCACCATCTGACCAAGGTCTTTCTGTTTGGAATTTGCATGTTCTCTTTGTGTTTGCATGGGTTCTGTCCAGGTACTCCGGTTTCCTCCTACAATCCAAAGACATGCAGTTAGTGGGGTTAGGTTAATTGGTAAGCTAGGTAGCTATATACTCTTTAAATACTCTTTAGCGTCACCAGGTATAATCGTAGTAGTAAAAAATAATAATGTTAATGAGCTATGAAAGACTTCCTGTAGCAGTTTTTAGGGCAGAAGAGATGAATAAGGCAGTTGGTGGATAGAGAGATGAATGCTTTCTCTATTAGCGTTCTTCCACTACTACAGACTCTCCTCTGTTTTAGTTGTTTTCCATAACAGTCAAGTATAGGGATGGGTATCGTTTAGGTTTTATCCAATACCGGTGCCAAACCGGTACTTTTGAAACGGTGCCGATGCTCGAACCGATGCTTAAAGAATGGAGAACACAAACTTTGTCCAAAAACCTCTTATGTTTTTATTTTTAGAAGTCTCTTTTTTTTCTGCAAAATGATAACCAAGTTAGCCTTTTCTGTTGATACAACATACCTCCTTTGGTTGGAACCGGTGCTTAAACAATGGCAAACACAAATTCTGTCCAAAAACCTCTCATGTTTAGCTGTTTTTTTTTTGGGTTTTTTTTGGTTTTTTTCTGTAAAAAGATAACAATGTTAGCCTTTTCTGCAGCTGTAGGGCATATATGGTATCACTCTATCGAACAAGAAGAAAGCCGCATGTAACTATGACGGTGTTTGCTAGTTCACCATACATGCATTAATTTAATAACGTGGTTAGCCTACTCAACGTAAATTACAAACGAACAATATTAAGCTACTCACGCAGGGAAGAACGGCTGCTGCTGCATCATCATCCTCATCATTTCTGCTACACTGGCAGGGCTAGGGGCCAGGACTCTCCTCTTTGGGTTCTTGGTGGGATGTTGCTAACTCCGGGTCCAATAACAGGCACCACACCCTCAGTAGATGTGCTCGGTGTGAGGTCTTGCAGCAAGGTATCAAATACGGTGCATTTCTCGGCTTTTAAAAAAGCGCTATGCGTCGCCAGGTGTTTTATCAGATTCAAGGTGTTACCTCCTTTGCACAGCATCACCTTAAAGCACTTGTTGCAGGCTGCTGAGTTTGCATCTTTTGGTGTGAAGTACAGCCAGACTTTTAACCGCTTCGCCTTGGGCATTTTTAATCTGTAGCTCTGCTCTAAAAGAACGTACGTACCTGGGCCCGCCTACTATCCTTGGAAAGGTAAAATAATTGGCTAGAATACAAAGTGTATGACATCTCAGAAAAAAAAAAGCACAGAAATAAAGCACCGAAATGTGCGCTGCTGGCACCAGATACCGGTACCCATCCCTAGTCAAGTACCACCTAATGTGCGCAAAGTCAGTATAGCAACGCAGGCCGGAGTAGATACTTGATTATCCATATACGCTCATCGGCTACTTCATAAGTTACACCTTACTAGTACCAAATTTAGAACTTGTTTGGCTTTCAGAATGTAGAATGTATATTCTTTTCTTTTCTTTCTTTCTTT